CCCCCCCCCCCCCCCCCCCCCCCAGGAGCACCAGTCTGACTCCCCAACCCCATTCTTGTTCAGAGTGCAGGATTTTTAAGTGCCCTGAGCCTGGCCTCTTCCACTCAGGTGCCTCTTTAGCTCTAGCATAGTCACACCCCATTAGTGCTAATCGGCAGCTTGCCCTGCTGTCTGCAGCATGGCTCTGCTGCTATCAGCCCCCTCCCCCCGTTTACATCTGCCAGTGTATCTGTCCTATTTCTCTCATCTATTGAGGTTCAAATTGCCTCTTTACTGTGGTCCACTCTCCTGTGCTGCAAGGCTAGCCTCTCATCCCGGCCTATCTAGTGATAGGAGCCTTTGTCTTCCTGTTACATATGGTCATGTTTTTAAAGACTGCATCTATAAGGACTAGGTCATAAGTGGGCTGATCTAGTGGGCAGGCCACGGGAGGGCCAGAGACAAAATTCTAGAGTCAGAGACCAAATTATGAAATCCAAGGTGGAATTTCCAAAAAGCCAGACCCAAGAAGCAAAGCCAAGCAGGGTCAGATGTCAGAGTACCAAGAGCATAGGCTCCAGGGAGACTTACCACAGCCTACAAACAGGCAGAACTATTGTCTGGTTTACAGTCAGCTGCCACAGTTGGACTTAAATGAGAAGGTTGCTATCCCCAGCAGCCAATCAGAAGGCCCTCACAGTGGCCAGCTGGTTCATTAGCCAAGGTGCAACTACCAGTTAGAGCCTCTGGTAGGATTAGCCATCTGGGCAAGTAGCCATGGTTGGGCTGTCTGTTAGGGCCCCTGAGAGTGTCATAGGGCACATGCACAAAAGGATCAAATCAAGGTTGCAAGGGAAAACTTATTTTTCACATTTGCTGACTTAGGCTAATGTAGTTTTGTAATTTCCAAGGTCTTGAAAATAGTAAACTAAACATAAAAATGTCAACTGGTGGCATTATGTTGATGTGCACATGGACCATCAGCAGGAATGGAGGCTTCAGATCCAAGCTGAAACCTCTAGCATTTAATCTAACAGAATAACTGACAGCCTTATTAAACTGTCATCCTCTGTGCAAGCCATAAATGTGGCTGACACACAAACTTTATCCACTTATTTCACATATACTTGCTGACAGCAGAGTGACAGTGAGACTTGGTATTTTGGGTTCCATTATAGGCTTTGGAGGGGAATAATTTGAGGTTCAAGAAGATATTTTGACTTGACCCAAAATGATTTGAATAAAATACAAAATTTGAAAAAAATAAAGTCTGCTTCAGTTCAAAATGAAACATTTTTTTCAGTTCAGCACTGGACTGAAAATATATTATTCATTCATTATTCACTCAGCTCTAATGAGAAACATGAGATAAATAATGTCACTGATAATTAACCAGGGTAATGAGTGTATATAGTCTCATCTTTCTCAAATGATGGATAGTTAGGCTTTGTACTGATTGTGAAGGAGGTAAAACTCATTCTAATGAACACAAGCTTAAAATATGATCGGTCTTATAATACTGGCATTATTGATTTTCAGAACAGAACATTTGACCTGCATGTGAAGGCAAATGAATGGTAAGAGACCTTCCCTTGAGTCCTGATTCCTGCAGGTTGCTAGTGGCTGGTGCAGCTATAGAGGGCTCTATGTAGGCATAAATGCTTGTCTATTGAAAGAACAAGCCCATTTGTACTTTGGGTGTGGGTGACTGTCCGTCAAGCTCTTCCCTTTCCTTATCTGAGAATAATGGCTACGTAAAGACAATCCAAAAGCCTGAGACTGAAGTGATTAAATCTTCGCAGGCTAGTCTGAACTGCATAGATTGAACTGGTAAGCAAGTGAACAGACATTCATTTTTGATTCCAGAAAAGCAGCCACGTGCCTGCAGTGGCCCAGGCCAGAAGCTGGGGGGTATTAGGGCATGCCTCCCTGCTCAGCTGGAGCAGATAGCTTGGGCCAAGGCTAGCCTGCCCACCCTGCAAAGCAACATGGGATGCTGTGGGACTGTGAATTAACTTGAATCTGGAGGGAATCTGGGACAGAAATTCAATAACCTGATTTAACCTAAATCAATTAAGTCTGATACATCCATCCAGATTTATCTTAAACCTGTTTTGGCCATTTAAAAAGCAGTTTATGTGCACTGAACTTCTGTTGAGTTACAGATTTGAACCAGTTTCTGATCACTTATACTGGTTTATGTATAATTTCTGTCCCTTGCCTGTGTGTTTACATGCTTCCTTGTGGCAATCAGCTAACAAAACACAATAACCTGCAGCTACTCTCAACAGTAAATGAGAACACATGATAAAACAGTACATAGCTACTGTGCTAATCAGTTTAATTAAATGTTTACATGATATACCACAGAAGCATGACAGCCTTGTTTTCCCAAGATCTGCGACATGCTGTGTCAATCCTGTGACATGCTGAGGTTTATTGCTCTGGTCTTGCAGGTTAGGTTAACCCATGCTTAATATTAAATATAAAATGAGTGTTCTAGCAGTCAATGGGGCTAATTATGAACATTAGTTTAAGCATGTGTTTAAATACTTTGCTGGATCAGCATCAGTAAGCTCAAGAACTCACAGGATTGAGCCCAGAAGGGGCACTAGCTTCAGATGTGATTTGAGAGAGTTGACATTACATTGAGACAACAACAAATGAATTAACATTCCATGCAATTAAAATGTATTCTATTGTATAAATTGTTTGTATTTGCCTACACCCATGGATACATGAACTATATGGACATCTCATGACTCTCAGAATTTTCAATATAGTTTCTCAAGAAATAAACAATAAATAGCTCTCCCTCAGAAGTTGCAGATGATGGTATTGTTAAGTTTGCTTTGGCACCATCTTTTCAAACATTATTTTCAGTGCTTTATGACAAAAGTTATCCCATACATATTTAAATACATGGGCTATGTTATCCCATGCAAATATGTTATCCCATACTTATTTAAAACAAAAGTTATCTTTTAGGTCAAAATTTCTTATTTCAGTCTCATCCCCAAACTGAGTTGTAATGGAAAGTTTGAAGAGTGTTGGAGAAACTTTACTGGGTTATTTAAAAAAGAGAATTGTGAAAAAAGCCATATTGACTGGTCATTATATAATGGCTCTTCTGACTGTTCCATCCAGCTTTTCTGCATTTGGATAGCTTCGAAAAGGCTTTACTGGATATGTTCAAATGCAGCCTATACATATTCCTACCATGTGGGGGCTACATGTTTTACCAAGTGTGAATGAAATTGGGTTCAAAATGGAAAGTTTATAATAACAATATCCACACTTCTATTAGAATGTTGTACTTGTACTAGAGTGGAGTATCTCTGCAGGCTCTAGAAATGACTAATGGCAGGTCTAAGAGTCTGGAGGACAAAATGGTGCATATTAAAAAAGAAGAAATCCAGGATAAAGGTGGATTCGATATTGTAAAACCAAAATTTAGAATGGTTGAGGTCTGGGCCCAATTTTTATCTAAATCTCCAAAATCTTTTTAGGAGGGGTTGAATAAATAGAACCCATTTTGTCCTATCTCTATTATGCACACACATTTTAAGAAAGTTGATACACACATGTAATGTGTTTTCTGTAATGACAATAAAGAGTAGTACATGTATAGAATGTGTTTTCACTTGGCACTATCTGGCGATGCATATGTACAGAGATCAGATGCATGTATTTAAATAACAACATACTGAAAATACACGCTACTGAAAAGTTTTTCTTCTATTAGATCGTCAAATAAATGCATTTGACTGAAATTGTCTAATCTTAGTTTGTTAAATTCATTGCATGAATCCCTTTTGGTCTGATTCTTGCAAATATTTTTAACCGAATTTGGAAACAAATAATAGAAACATAATCACAATATTTGGAGTGTATTTTGTTTTCTTATGTAATCTCATGTGCATGTTCTTAGGAATTGCATTAAATATCAGAGATGCCTTCAATGTGCGCATGTGCTCTCTCTCTCACTCTCTTTTTTCTCTTTCTCATTCCTATTTTTGCCTAGCTATATAGTTTAGAATGGATGGTCTGTAAACCAACTATTTAATTTATTAATTGATATGTTCATATGCCTTTTTATAAATGTCTCGGTATATGTTTGTATACATTTAGAAACGCAAACATACAAGTAATAACATATAATATGTTTGCACTAACCTCAGGACTGAGGGTCTGTGTAGGAGACCAAAAAATTTAGATGTGCGCCTGGGGTTTGACCTGTGCCCAGAGGAACAGAATTTCCTGAAAAATCGGAAGCAGGTGGTTGCTGCTGGTATAAAGAAGGTTCTTCATCTAGATGAGGATCTGCAGGATCATGAGGTACCTGAGGGAAAATAAATTCTCAGCTAGCTAGGCACTTAAAAGAAGCTGAGCCAATGGGTATCTTTGATGCAGTGGCATAACTAAAGATGAGGGGTGGGGAGGGCCTCTGGGGCAGCAGCCCTGGGTACCACCTTTGTTGGTGGAGTTGGAGAGGGCCCAAAAATAGTCGCCACCTCAGCAGCAGCTGGCTGTGTTGCCATGAGCAGCACTATGGTAGTCAGGTGCTGCCCTATGCATCATGGCTGTCCCTGGTTCAGAGCTGCCCTGGTACACTTCTGAAAGGTCTTTCCATGAGAACTATTGCTGACCTCCATTTTGAGGCATGATGAATTGTGGGAGGGGGAGGACTATTAAGAGGGGAAGGTGCAAGCTGGGTAGAGAGGAGATGGCAGGAGATACTTCTCTCTTTTTCCTTCAAGGCCATGAGAATGAGAACAGGCGTCTTCTACTATTAGCTGCTCTCTTCAGCTGTTCTGTTCTGTTCTGAATTTGCAAATACTATATTCCTGTTTTGGCCTCCATAAAATGCACTGTTTAGAAATATATACCTAGCAGTGGGTTTAATCCCATAATATTCAAAACAAAATAATACATTCTGATGGGGCAGAATCTGAAATTTTACAAAATTCAGCAGGAGACTACAAAGTAGTTTTGAATGGGACACAGAGACCTCTCTGCGTTATGTAAGTGTGCTACAATTTATACAGAGAGTGTTATCATTCATAGATCTTATTTTGTTCTTGTTACCAGAACCTGAATTTTTTGCTCACCCTTCCCCTTTTTGGTCATTAATGTTCATTGATGGTGCTTTACACATACTTTCTTCCTTTGTTGTGTTGAGCAGGTACCAGTGGTGGCTGTGACAACCACTGGGGTTGGCATAAGAGCTTTGACAGGCATGTATGGCAGCATCTGGGGTCTTCAGAAGCTGAATCTTCTGGACTGTATTTCTTACATCACTGGCTCATCTGGCACAACATGGTGAGAGTTATTTTTAAGGATTTGATTTACTTATCCTGGAAGTCTCTGTTACAGAGAAAAATGCGTAGGGAATATGTTATCTTGAAAATATCTCATGCACTGGACTAGGGGTGTCAATACTCATCTTGCTTCCTGGGCCAGATCCAATCTGGGGCAGAAAGTGATTCCAGCCCAGGGCATGTGGCAGTGTGTGCAGCTCTGGCTCCAATCCAGGGCATGTGGTGGTAGTTGCAGCACCTCTGGCATGGGCCATGCAGCATGCAACATAGTAAGCTATGGCCTTTGCCTGTGTTCCCCATGTTGGAATCAGAGCTGCTGTTGCCACCACATGCCCTGTGCTTTGGCATCAGTTTTAGCTTCTGCATGGGGCATGTGGGAACTCTAGCATGGGGTAGTACGGTTGTGGCACAGGTGATGGGCTAAGCAACTGGAGGGCAACCATAGCTGCATCAATCCTTGCTTGCCTTCCTGCTGCTAACTGTCATATCCACTGAATGGTGTGAAGTAAATTTTTTTTAATGATACAAGGAGTACTTACTTGAGGTCTTTGGATATTTTCTAAATCCTTAGCCAGGTTTCAAGTGATCCCTGGCTTAAGTGTTAATGCACCTTGAAATTTTGGCCAGGTCTTGGTGTTGGATGGAAACCATGCAACACATGGTGGATTTGTATATCTTTGTTTCAAAGTCAAGAAAAAACAGGTGTTTTCAGTCAGTCATGTTTCCCTTTGGCCTCTGAAGTTTGTTTATATTTGAAGCTCAAAAGAAAATGAATGGTGAGAGCCTAAATGAAGTGAGACCAAAAAGGGATTGCATGAAGCTCTGCAAAATTGATCCACTGAGTTTCATCAATCTCAAATTCTAACCATTTTTTTTCTTGAATGTTCTGTTTTCTGACCTCAGGACCATGACCAAATTATATGAGGATGCTGACTGGTCACAGAAGGATCTAGGGGAGATTATCAGTGAAGCCCGGAAGCAAGCAACTAAATGCAAA